AGAAGCTGGGACAAAGCAAAGAGCACACAGCATTCAGGAAACGGCAGCTCTTCTGACTATAAGGGGACCCAAGAATGCAAGAAGGATGCTGTGTCCACGGCAGTCTTTCTTCTAAATCATTTTGCTCTGGGCTGCTGGGGCCAGAGGATCCCCGCAGGCTGTGGATTATGGAGAAAGGACAAAGGAGAGGAAAGCAGGCTGAATCTAAATTCACACACCACACCTGTGGGGAGCCTGGTTGGCCACGGGACCAACGCCAGGGCACCATGGGCTCGGTGGCAGCTAATCCGAATTGCAGTTCAAATTCTTAGAGCTGTGTTGGGCTTGTAGTCCCAGAGAGCCAGGGGCAGAGTCACAGGGCACCCTTCTTTGGCTTAACTAACAACACTTAGGAACCAAGAGTCTAGGGTGCCCGGTGGATGGGAATAGGAAGGAGGAGGCAGGAGTCATGGACTTAAAATTCCTGATAGAATGGCAGGTCAGGAAGCCAATTCTTACCCTGTGGGGCTCAGCAGGACGTGGAAGCCTCCTGGCCCTACAGAGAAACCCCAGGCTTAGCTCTGGGGTTGGGGTGGGGGGCGGGCGGGGCCCAAAGTGCCCCAGGAGAGGGAGGTTCAGGCAGCCATGTGCCGCTCACCCTCAACACCAACTGCTGCTCCCGAGAATCACCTCTAGGGGGCTGTTCACTTCTATAAATACCCCCCAAATAAGCCCGTCCCCTCACTCTGCATCCAGGGTCAAGCCCTGACACCACAGCGTACATTGCTCAGGCAGGGGTAATTTATAGATCCACTTGAGGTCACTGGTAAGTTGAGAGCAGAGATAGGGGAACCCTCCCAACCTGGACCTTGGTCACAGCCAGCCCGTAGCTCTCCTCTTCTGCGTCTGTGTCCCTGTGAATACTAGACTCCAACCACCCACAGGGTATGCATTCTACAACCCTGCCCCTGGACGACACACAGGTTTACACGTGCATGCACGTTCACAAAGATGCACAAGAGCACACATACACATTTGCCTACTGACACACACGTACCTTCTCCACTCCCACACAAACCCACACGGCCCCAGCATGCTCGGGCTTGGGGGGGCACTCCAGCCCCCACAGGGCAGGGGATGCCAGCACACGCCCCCTGCTTGCCCCACAGAATCTTTTTTTCTCCCACAGCTCTGAAACACAGAGTCCCCCATGGCCACTTTGAGCTTCCCTCCCAGACACTTTTTCCTAAATCAGCTTCCAATCTGACTCATTCCAGTTTTAAAACAAGAAAACATCAACAAACATGATGGAGGGAAACAGATGGTAACAATTACAGGAGGGAGAAAACAGAGCCGTTCCCTCTAGAAGGGGCAGGCAAACATATTGTCCCCAGACAGTGCATCGCCCCCCAGTTGCCCCTGTGTGAACCCGGGTGCCGGGCTCCCCGGGACCATCCCCACCCCAGGGGACGGGCCAGCCCTGGAGGGGCCATGAAGGCCTCCAAGCACCACAGGGCAAGGCCCCCCAAACTGGCAACAGCCTGTTCTCCAGGGAGGGAAGTTTGGACGTTCCAGCACATTCCAGGCTACCTCACTACCTCTGACGTCCTGTCTAAGGCCCGAGATGTGGGTGGGACGCTTCCTCCCCTGCTGTGACCGGCCCTGACTGCCCTTCAGGACTGCAGCCGCCTGTCTCACCTGCCAGAGCCCCTGAGGGCAGGACAGGGTCTCTCACTGTGGGTGGTGGCGTGTGCCAGGCTGCCTCGTTCAAAGGCAAATCCTGCCACTTACAAGTGGGATGAGCTGAGCCAAGCCAACAGACCTCCCTTTGCCACCGTTTCCTCACCCCTAAAATGGAGATAATTCTAGAACCTACACCATACGAGTATGAATTAATATGTGCAAAGGACGGAGGACCGGGCCCAGTGCACATGGATGTCCCATGGGGAAGTTGTCTTGTTGTTACGACCCATGCAGACAGCCAGCTTCTTGTCAAGGTCTGCCGAGTGGAGGGCATTCCAGGCGGGGGAAGCCACGCACTGAAGGTAGGGCCGAGAGGATAAGCCCTGCTGTTGAGGCAGGGTGCCCGAGGGCCCGGGAGCAGCAGATGGCCAGGGCCAGGGTCCTGAGATGCAGTCTGCTGTTCTCTGTCTCCTGTCATTTCTCCATCCTGTGTGTTTTGAGCAGGACAAGGGCTCTGCCCTCTGGCAGATCAGATTGGTGGAGACAGGCAAGGAAACAGGTGCATCCAGGGGAGATCAAGTGCTGTGACAGAGGGGGGCACCCACCTTAGCCCTGTGGGCCTGGGAAAGCTGCCTGGGGGAGAGGCTAAGTCCCGAGTGGCAGGAGGAGGGGTGTGGGGGTGGAAGGACAGGTAATGGGCAGTTCTGGGCACAGGGGGCATGATGCCTTTGGGGGTCAGAACAGCAAGGCATCAAGAGTGAGGGGTTCAAGTCATTACTGGAGTGCCCCAGGCAAGGATTCAATGTCTCCGAGCCTCAGTTTCCCCATCTGCCGGATGAGGATTATAGTTCCCTCCATCCCAAACCTCGTGTGAAGAATAGAAGTAAGATTGTGTATCAGAAGTCCCTAGTTGACTCCTAGCATGTGAGGTGCTCACCACAGGGGATCTCCGTGAACCCACCTTTGGGACAGGACTTTCTCCCACGGGTCTTGTCTTAGCCACGTTTACACACTCGAGCTCTCACGCAGGGTACACGTTCCCTAGCACACCAGTGATACTACTATGGATTGAAAGTCTGTGCTCCCAGAATTCATATGTTGGAATACTAACACCCATGTGATGGTGGGGGGCCTTTGGGAGGTGATTAGATCTCAGAGGTGGAGCCCTCACAAAAGGGATCGGTCCCCTCTCTGTTCTCCAGTGAGGAAACCGGATCAGTCAGCAGGCTGCAAGCTGAAAGAGCCTCTCACCAGAACCTCACGGTGCTGGCATCCTGACCTCAGCCTTCCAGCCTTCTGAACTGTGGGAAATAAATGTCCGCTGTTGAAAAGCCCCCCAGGTCATGGTAATTTGTTCAGGCAGCCCGAGGTAGATAACACACGCACCCTCCCACATGTTCACATACAAGGAGACACCAGTTGGCACGCACTGTAGAGGCCATATCTCCCCCTTTGCTCCCATCTGGTCCCCTCTCCCACCCCCGGACTCTGCTGAGCCTCTGGCCTATGGGAGGTGCCGTGGCTGCCCCTATTCCAGGGCCCTGGATAAGGTGGGCTGCATTTAACCACCACAGAGATCCATCACTCTGTTCTCATTGTGTCAGGCGGCAGCAGGCTGTGGAGGCTCCGGGATGAAGGGGAGGAGGGTATATTCTATCCCTTCTGGCCCCCTCCCAGGGCCTGTTCCTTACAAATGTGCATCAGGCAGCTTCTCTGTTAAGCATCCCGAAATAAAGAGGGGAGACTCTCTGCCACACGCTATTTTGGCAGCTGCTTCTATTTTAAAACGTATTGACATCCCCTCTTGTTCTCCTGGGGGGCTCAGCGTTTTCAAATTCTTTCCGGTCCATCCATTTCCTGGCTTGGAGGAGGCTGTCCTGTTTGCACCAGGGGCCAGCATGGTCCTCTCCTCCTGTTTGCTCCGGGCACCCACTGCTGTTCCTTCTTCGGCTCTCTGGGTAACCTGGACAAGACCTCTCTCTCCTCTGGGCCTCATGCACCACCCCGTTGGAAAATAGCAGAGGGTCTTTGCTGTCCCCTAATGTGTGTCTTGAGCTGCCGGGCTGTGCGCCATTTAAGAGCCATTTACTTGCTCTCTGAACGCTGGTCCGGGCACGGGGGCCTGGTTTCCCCGGCAGGTTTGCCTCCCAGCTGGTCTCATCATATGGGCATACAATGGCCTTGGTTTGCACTTCCATCTCTGTGGGCTTGGCCTTCTAAGTGTTGGTGTTTCTCAGGGTGCGATGATATTCTCGTGCCTTCCTCTGCTACACCTGCACGCAACCCTGCTTGCACTTCTGGACCTAATTATTGCCCAACTGCCAAGTCTTCAGCACCTGTAATTCCAGACCCCACATGTTCAAATGCCGAGCAGACATCTCCACTGGGATGTTTTGCCTGCACCTCAAACTCAGCCTGTCCTCCTCCCCAGATCTGCTCCTTCTGCCCTATGTTGGGCTCCAGACCTGGTCCCAGCCCCACTGTGACGCAGGCAGGAGCAGGGACTGAGTTGTGGCGGCCCCTTCCCACCACTGCTCTCCTCCACCAGCAGCCTTGCGGAGGCTCTCTTCCGGGGTTCTCCCCGCAGCCTGCACCACCCTGCCCCTTAGTCTAGCTTCCACCCGGCCCCCCGGTCACCCGGTGGGGGGTCTACCCCAATCTCTTCGCTGTGTTGCAGCCTGTTTTTTTTTTTTTTTTCCTAAAATGTAAGTATGACCATGTCACTCTTCATCTAAAACTCTCCAGCCCCATAGTCTAAGGGGTGAAGTCCAAACTCCCCGATGTGGTTCCCAAGCCCTGCGGGTCTCCTGGGCCCCATCTCTTATCACTCCTAGCCTGCTCCTTCATCCTCACCAGCACTGCCTGGCTCATGGTCGGCAGCTTCATGTCTCCACACCTTGGCCTAGGGGTATGTACTGAGCTCCCCTTCACCAAGGCTCACTCCATCGTATCCTTGAAGACTCCACTCAGGCATCCTCTCCTGAGAAGCGTTCCCTGAACAGCTCCCTGTCCTGGCTGGGCCACAGGTATCACCTCTGGGCTCCCAACACACCCACGAAGATGGAGCCCCGTGTGTTCCTATTTGCTCGTCTGTCCCCACTAGGTCATGAATTCCTTGAAGTTGAAGACTGTGCTTTGCCTTCGGGAAAGGGTCCGGGACATAGTAGGTGCTCAGTAAAGGTTTCAGGGGTGAATGAAGACTTACTAGGGAAGCTTCTCCATGATGCTCTGAGAGGGTGGGTCTTTATGCAGTTGTTGGCTTTACCAAGGCCCCAGAAAGGCCTCCAACTCTCTCTCTCTCCCTGGTAGGGTTCCAGGGCGAAGTGTGTTTTGAGTCCTTTCTAATCAAGCTGTCAATGGGGAGTCCCGACACCAGCATTGATTTTTCACCAAAGGGGAGGCGGCTTCCCCTCTGCATTCTGCATCCTGGCCGTCAGTTCATGTGTTTAGACCCCAGTCTTCTGTCCTCACAGACCAGGCCCACTTTCGGGCCACTGGGACCTGGTTTTCTAAAATCAGGGTCAGAGTTCCTGCCACTGAGATGCTTGGATTTCTAGAGGAGCCATAGCCAATGTCCACACAGATGGACCCATACCCTTGATCCATTTCTTCCCACCCCTCTGGGAGCACCCACTGGCCTCAAAATAGTCCACCGGCCCAGGCTGGAACCAGACACTTAACACTGCAGGAGAAGCGAGCCCTAGCTCTCCCCTTAGCCCTGGAGATGCCCCCAAGTGTGAGCCTCACCTGCTGCAGAGACCGTCACAGACCGTTTCATTCCCATTTTCCTTTCCCTTCTTGCAGGGGATGGGCAGAGGAACAGTCACTGAGTCCGGGGACCCAGTGGCAGGGGCTCTGGCTGGAACCTGCCACCTGCAATTGAGAGGCCACCCTTCCTCAGCTGAGTGGTTGCAGCTGCTGGGTGTATGTCTGGCTGCTCTGTCTCCCAGGAGCCAGGTTCAGGTCTGGTTCAGGGACAGGTAGCGGACAACACAGCCGGTGTGGCCAAGTCCCCGTATATATGTGCTTGTGCAGTGCCCTTCTCTGCTTGCATAAGCCATGTCCCCTGCAAAATGACATGTTCATGGAGGCATGCCTGGGATTGTCAACTTGTCTAGGCCATGGTGCCCAGGTATGTGGTCATACACTATGCTGGATGTCTCAGTGAGGGTATTTTGGGCAAGATTAACATTTATTATTTATTTATTTATTTTTAAGTTTTTATTTAAATTCCAATTAGTTAACATACAGTGTACTATTAGTTTTGGGTGTACTGAGATTAACATTTAAATCAGTGGACTTTGAATAAGTAGATTGCTCTTCCTGATGGGGGTGGGCCTCATCCAATCAGTTGAAGGCCTAAATAGAACAGAAGATTGACCTCTCCTGAGCAAGAGGAGATTTTGCCAGCAGACAGCCTTTGGACTTGAACCGTAACATTGACTTTTCCCTGGGTCTCCAGCCTGATGGTCCACCCTTGCCTGCTTCCATCATCACATGAGCCAGTTCTGTAAAATAAATATTCAGTCACTATATGCATCCTATTAGTTCTGTCTCTTTGGAGAACTCTCATTAATAAATCTCATTTATCAAAATTGCACCTTTCTTGCATAAGGACTAGTGGGCATTGTGGAAGGGAGATCTGTCCCTCATACGGGGCATATGTATTGTATCTTCATTAAAAGTTTGGGCATGCCCTGACTTGAAGGGTCCCAGGTCCTGGTGAAATGGGCCCCTGGTGAAATGGGTGATGTTTTTTTTTTTTTTTTTTTAAAGATTTTATTTATTTATTTGAGAGAGAGAATGAGAGAGAGCGAGTACATGAGAGGGGGGAGGGTCAGAGGGAGAAGCAGACCCCCAGCCGAGCAGGGAGCCTGATGTGGGACTCGATTCCAGGACTCCAGGATCATGACCTGAGCCGAAGGCAGTCGCTTAACCAACTGAGCCACCCAGGTGCCCATGGGTGATGTTTTTATAGCAGAAGAATCACTACTACATCCCAGGTTGTGACTTTCCAGGGCAGGCAGTCTAGCAGGCCTCCAAGTTTTCAAAAAAATGCAAACCTGGCCATGCCACTCCTGTTTCAAGCTCCTCAGGGGCTCTACATTGTCTTCAGGGCAAAGCTTGAGCCCTGCCACGCAGTCCGTGACTACCCCCAGGACCAGGCCCCAGTCTGGTCTCCAGCTTCATGCCACACCACACTCCTCACATGCTCTTGAATCCTCCCTCCCCACCCCCACCTACTCTTTTCTTGTCTCTCTGCCTTTGTATTTCCAGTCCTCACTGGAGTGTTCTGCCACCACCTCTTTGCTTGCCTAACTGGAACTTAAACTTTAGCACAGGTGTTACCTCCTTCAGGAAGCCTTCCCTGACCACTCCCTATGCCCAAGTCTGGGCTGTATCTTCCTCCTCTGGGCTGTGATAGGGCTCAGGGCTGATCTTGATCTTGAGACTCCTCACAGAGTATTGTCTGTTTCCTCCTCCCAGCTGTGAGTTCCTTGAGAGCCTGGGCTGGGACATAGTTGGCATGATAAGTGTTTGTTGAATGAATGAGTGAGAGTACAAATGAAATGGGAACTTCATATGGTTTCTCTTGGGTTTTTCCCAGTTGAAATGCTCTGGTGGGTCACAGACTCATTTCTGCACCATTTTTATGGACAGGGTGATGTTATTGCCAAGGCTCTAAAGTCATGTGTCAGCTCCTGGGTATTGATAAATCTGGTGAAAAGTGCTGATGATCTAAAATAAGAAAATGATAACAAAATTTTATTGAGCATTAACTCTATTAAGTACTGAGCTAAACTTTTTACTATCTAGTCTAGTCTACTCCTCATAACTAGGTTCATTAAGTAAGCCTCAGAGAGGTTACTTAACTCGCTCAAAGCTGCACAGCTAACAAAGTGGAGTTGGGATATGAAAATCTGTGTACTTAGCTGCTGAGCTTCAAAGGCTAGGAAGGAATTCTCAAGCCCTGCTTAGTATTCTTATTGTTTTAAGTCTTGGCAATAGTGCCTAGGTGAGCTATATAATCTGTACCAGCTGGAGCCCCCACCCCATAAGGACCCCATAAAGGAACCCCCAGACACGGCTGGCCCCTGGGTGTAGATGCCAGGTGATACCCAGTCTCTCAGGCAGGACTCTCAGCTCCTCTCAGTTCAGGCTTGGGTCTGTGTCCTGTGGCCCCTCCTCCACCCTCCTGTCGGCCCCAGGACCCTGTTGCCTGGACAAAAACAGAGGCTGTGCAGGTAAACAGGAGTCAGGATCTCTCTGTGGCTGAGGTCCTCCTTGGGAGATGCAGCTGCAAGACAGCTGGAGGGTTTTCTGGTGTTTTACCAAAGCACGTCTGAGTGGGAGGGACTCTTCCAGGGATCTGGGTCGCGATCACAGTAAAAGGGCGTCTACAGCACTCCAATGATGATAGGTTTTATTTTTAGGAGCTCAGCAGTACCTTGGGGGGTAAGCCCAGGCCAAGCTGGGAGAGGGGATGTGGAGCCGGGCCCGAGTCCTTTGCTCTCCCAAGGGCCATTCTGAGTGGGAGGAGCCAGGAGGTGGGAGAGGCTAGGGCTAGGCCCATTTCCCTGTCCCTCATGTCACCGTCTCCTCATTTCCATTCACAGCCTCTGATTTTCTCAGCAGAGAGGTACAACTGGAGAGCTTTCTAGAGCCACTGGCCATATTTTGAACAAGTGGGAGATTCAATGACTCTCTTCTCTCATAGAAAACATAGCTGATTTGGTCAGGTTATGGATTCAGGGAAGATTGTAATATTTCAATCCCTGATTTATTAATGTCTCCTTATTTTCAGGGTTCTCCAGAGAAGCAGAACCAATGGGAGATACGTGTGTGTGTGTGTGTGTGTGTATATATATATGAATGAAGAGATTTATTATAAGGAATTGGTTCATGTGATTATGGAAGCTGAGAAGTCCCAAGATCTGCAGTTGGCAAGCTGGAGACCCAGGAGAACCAGTGGTGTAAGATAAGTCCAAAAGCTAGCAGGCTTGAGGCCCAAGAAGAGCCAATGTTTTGGTCTGAAGGCAGGAAAAAACCCAATGTTCCAGCTCAAGCTGTCAGGCAGGAGGAGTTCCTTATTTGTGTGAGGGTTAGCCTTTCTGCTCTATTTAGACCTTCAACTGATTATATAAAGCCCACCCACATTAGGGAGAGCAATCTGCTTTATTCATTCCACTGATTCAAATGTTAATCTTAGCCAGAAACACACCCTCACAGACACATCGAGAATAATACTTGGCCAGATATCTTGGCCTCCCTTGGCCCAGTCCAGGGGACACATAAAATTAACCGTTACACTATCTACTACAAATTTCACAATTATATCGCCTCTTGTTGCAATTTTTGTATGAATCTGTGCTCTGGGTAGGGAGAGTCCAGGCAGGGGGGAAAAAAAAAACCCCAAACAATACTAAGCAGGGCTTGAGAATTCCTTCCATGATTACAGAACTTTTCCGCTGGTTCTGCCTTGCCAGTAAATACTGCCCAATCCCAGGAGAGGCAGGGTCTGCCTCTCCTCCACCCCCGCCCCCAGCAAATCAAATAAATAAGCCGCTTCCCAGCCACATCTGCTCCCACATCCCAGCATATGCTCTGCCTCGCTTGCTTCGTAGCTGTTCAGACTAAATGGGCAGTGTCTTCTGTGCTTCCAACACCCTTGGGTGCTTCTCCTGGCCCGGCCTTCCCAAGCGGCTGCTCATGCATTACCCACAACAGCAAAAATGTCCCACTGGTGGTTTCAAGATTCCTAAAAAATAGATTCAAAACATCTTTAATACTCTCTGAAGAAGCAAAGTATCTCAGAAAAAGCTGTCACCGTTAGTACTGCTGATATTATCCAGACTGAGGGCTGATCAGCAAGGCAGCTGCAGCCAATGGGCATTCTGCAAGCCTGCTGCTGGAGGGCACCTAGCCTGTCTGCCCACTGTTTACACTCCCGAGAAAGGAAGCTGCCGACTTTCCGAGTGTTTGCCTAATGCCCTTTTACATAACCTGGGAAAGAGTCACCCTACTTGAAGGCGATAGTTCCCAAAAAACAGCCATCCCCTATTTTTTTTTTTTTTTAAAGATTTTATTTATTTATTTGACAGAGAGAGAGATAGCGAGAGCAGGAACACAAGCAGGGGGAGTGGGAGAGGGAGAAGCAGGCTTCCTGCCAAGCGGGGAGCCCGATGCGGGGCTCGATCCCAGGACCCTGGGATCATGACCTGAGCCGAAGGCAGACGCTTAACAACTGAGCCACCCAGGCGCCCCCAGCCATCCCCTATTAACACAACATCCCCGAAAGGAATGCCGACCGTGACCGTTTCTACAGCAATAACAAGTCCTGCCTGGAAGACCTTTCCCTTCCTTTTCTTCCTGTCCCAGAGCCAGGAGCACAGAGCTCCGGCTGAGCCTTCCAAGGCAGCCAGACAGAGGGAAGGCTCAATGAAGTATTAGGTATGCGAGCTTCACGGTGCCCCAAAGCCAGCAAGGAACTCCCTGCCCCCAAAGGACAGGGAGCGGGGTGGGCGGCAGGCCCACACGGGCCTCCCCGTCGGGTGACTCCCGCGAGGGCCTGCAGCGTGTGCCCTGCCTGACCGAGGAGGATGCGGCCGGGGAATCAGCTACTTGGATTTGCCAGGTTGTTTACCCTCGTTTCTTTCTGAAGGTTAATGTTATGGGCAATCAAAGCAAGCTGAGAGGAGGAGACGGAGAGGCAGAAGAATGGAAATCTTCAAACCAGGAAAAGGTTTCGTTTACTTTTGGTAAATAAAAGTGTGTTCATATTTTCACAAAGATATTTCTATTTCGCCAGCTTGCTATTCAAGCGGCGCTGGGCAAACACGTGTGATGTGGTCACACCTCTGATCCAGGGAGAAATGGAAAACGGAGACCCAGTGTAGGGATTCCCTGTGGTCGTCCCTTAGCCTCAGAAGTCAGAACAGCTTCCCGTAGCAGATGCCTAACGAGGCTCTCCCATCCTCTGCCTGCCTTGGTCTGAGTGGGGATCCTGTCGTGAGCCATCCCAGGAAGAGCGCCAGAGACCTCCCCTGCCCCGGCCTCAGCACGAACCACAGCACCCCTCCTCCCACCCTCCGTGTCCTTGGACAGGCCACCGGCCTTCTCCCAACCTGTTCCCCGTTTTTCTGGGGGGGGGTCTGTCTCACAGTCCACGGGGTGGCAAGAGTGATGGATGCAGAACCCGCAGCTCGGGTCCCTCCAACACGAGAGCTTGTATTATCATCCTCATCATTCTAGAAAATGTCTTCGAGAATTGTTTGCTTGGTGATTGAAACTGTGTTTCTTTTTAATAAAATCTTGATTTGAAAAAGGCCTGAAGGCACCTCTGTTTTCTCTATTCAGCAGGGCAGGGAGTGTGGCGAGGGCGACATTTAGACGCCCAGCGTATGCCTCCCTCTGACCTGCCACGCTCTGTTCTCCTCCTTCCATCTTTCCCTCTTCCTCCGAGCTGAAGAGAGGTTAGATGAGGTAAAGTAAGAGCTCTGAGGCTCCCACCAGAATAAGGTGCACCCAGGCTGGCTCCGGGGAAGAGGGAAGAAGAGAGGCTGGTGAGAAAAGAAGGCCAGCTGCTGCCGGGGGCTCCCTGGACCAGAGGATCAGCCGGGGAGTCTGTGGGGCCTGGGGGGATAAGCTGGGGGCGTGCTGCCCCTGGGGAGGCAGGGCTGGAGCAGGCCTGGCTCAGAAGGTGGGGCAGAGGGGTCCACAGCCCGGCAACCTCATCCCCATCAGCCTGAGGGGACCGGCCTTGGGATCCCCATCAGCCTGAGGGGACTGGCCCTGGGATCCCTCACGGGGAGGAATCGAGGCCTGGAAGGCCAGGGGCCACAGGGAGCCTGGTTCCCCAAAGAGATGCAGAGGTGGGTCTTGCAGGCCCTGGAGCCGGGGCAGGAATGTTTGCTGACAGGGGACGGAAATGAGCAGAGGCTTATGCTGAATGAGGGGACGATGGCCTCGCTTTGCTAAAGGCCAGTGTAGCTGAACCGGACTGATGTGGCCACTTCATTTTAATCCCCAACCCTCGGAGCCAGCCACGTCCACAGTGACCCCAACAGGTGCCTAATCATCTGGCTGCAAGTGCGGAGCGTGCTGGTGCCTGCAGGTGCTGAAGTCACCTAGACCGGAATAATGGGTTTTGTCCGAGGAGCCGGGGAGTAGGGGTGGGAAGCCCACGCAAAGCGCAGTGTCGGCAACGCCCCTCCCCGCCCGGTGCGGATGCTCTGCAGGGTCCGGGCACTGGAGGAAGCCTGGTCCCACAGAGCCCAGGACCTCCTCCCTGGCACGATGCCCCTTTGAATAAGGCAACTCTCAGAGCAGAATGCAGAAGAGAGGGGCCGCTGGGCACGGGGGCTCTCGGCCCTGGGCCACGAGCATGGCCTTGTCTGAGGGTGTGCTGACCTCAGTGAGCTCTGCAAGCTCCTCATGGCTCCGAAATCAAAAGCAGAGCTGGGGGAAGGGGTGAGTATCTTCTCTAAGCAAGGGCCACCAGGATGAAAGCGTTCTTAGCAGCAAACACGAAGGACTGAGAAAAATACTTTGACTAATCTGCTAATTTTATTGAGGCATAACAGGGTTTTAAGCCATGCTAGACTTTGAATAAAGCCACACAGTGCTAGAGGCGTTGAGCAAAGCGCATGGATACGGAAGGGCCCGGAAGGACGCTCTGCGCCCAGAGTGACGTCCGAAGCACCAGATAACCCTCTCAGGCAGTTGTGTCTTGTTCTTCTGTGGGGTGGGGAAAGGAACAGAGCCTGGGGCTCACAAGACCCGGCTGTGACTCCTGCTGTGCCCCCGAGGGGCCCCAAGTCACCTTAAGCCTCGGTCTTTCCAATTTTAAAATGGGATAATGACACCAGCCTCATTCAGTCATTTATTCACCGACTACTTGAGTTCCTGCCACATGCCAGCATTGTTCTAGGAACCTCAGAGATGGGAATGGAAAGCAAACCAACCCCCACAAGGACCCCATCCCACCGTCATGGGTCTAGTGGGGTTGAGAGAGCAAAACAGAACAAGATGATTTAATGCATAGTAAGTTGTTGGGCAGTGGTGAATGCTCTTAAGAAGTGTGAGGCAGGGTAGGGGTTTCTGAGTAATGGATGCAGTGCTGGATATGCTGTTTCGTCCCTCCAGGTCCACTCCAGGCTTCTTCGCTCTGCTCTGAGCCCTGGAAGGTGACTCCTGAGGACTACATCAGTGGGCTCCCTTACCGTCTGGCTCTGGGCGAGTCTGGCCAGTGGAAACGTCCACAGGAGATGATTGGGTGGGTATTTACTCTGGCTCACTCTTTTGGGCTGAGGTTGGTGGTAGCTGCGTTCCGCCACTGAGGGCCACGGCTCCCAAGCATGGCTCTCTCCAAAACTACAGCTCTCCTTCTGCGTTCTGATAACCACACCCCCCTCTCTTGCCTCTTCAGGCCCAAAGTCCCGGCTTCCTCCTGTTGCTTGCCCTGAGGTACTTCACCACCCCTAATCAGAAGCACACTTGGGTAAGCAGACCCTTCATTAAGCAGTCTTCAATTGCCCCCTTGGAGCGTGCCATCTGTTTCTTGCCAAGACCCTGCCAGGATGTGACTTCAGACCAAGTGGTCAGGTGAGGCCTTCCTGATGAGCACTGAGCTCTAAGGGCTGAGCACTGAGTCTTCATCTACAGATGCCTGGACAGTGTTCAAGTGGTGGATGCGTCCTCAGCATGTGAGAACGATAGTAAAGTAACTAGGGAGGCTGAGACACCCTGAGAAAGACTCAGAATGGTAGATGAATGTGGAGGAGTAGCCTGGGTCAAATCTTGTAGTCAAGGGAAGGAGTTTGCATTTTTTTGAGTAAGGTAGGGTTTTTGAAAGATTTTGAGTAAGATAATGACATGGTCAGGTTTATGTTTTAAAAGAATCACTCCGAGAGCACACTTATCATGATGAGCACCGAGTAATGTATAGAATTGTTGAGTCACTATATTGTACACCTGAAACCAATATAACACTGCATGTTAACTATACTGGAATTTAAAAAAATTAAAAAAGAATCACTCTGGGTGATGTGTGGAGAACTGACTATGGGTGGGAGGAGTGGAGTCAGGAAGACTAGTTAGGAGGGAATACCAGTGGCCTAGCTAGAGAGAAGGCGGCCCGGACAAGATGGCGGCTGTGGACGCAGTGTGAAGTAGCTGGATTTGGGATCTGCACTGAAGGGAGAACCCATTGGATTTCCTGGGATATGAGAGTCAACGATGACTATGGTTTCCAGCTTGAGCATCAGAGAAGAGAGTTCTTGTGAGGCAAAGGTGGAGGAAGGTCAGTGAACACATTGTAAATTATAAAATGCTGGCAAATACTAACGGGTTGAGATGAAAGTGTTCAACACTGGGGCTAGAACCTCACCCAACCTCAGAATCCTGAACAGTATTCTTCTCTTCCTCCTTGGGACATGAGAACAGAAGCCACAGAGCCTCACCCTGGTTAGAAAGATAAGACTGACATGCAGCAAGAGCAGAGGTCAGTAGGAGGCTTTGAGTGACAGGTGAGAAACTGAGCAATGTGGGCCATACATCTCCCAGGGAGGGGGACTCTGGGCCTGGAGAGCTGCATGGAGGAAGGAGAGGGAGGATCTCCTCTGCCTTCCCTAGACTGGAAGCTGGGGCTGTGACCAGGATGAGGACAAGACTTGCAGAGGAGGATGGGGCTGGGCACTGAAGTCTGCCCTGGGAAAGGCTATCAAGCCACCAGGAGCAGAAGGTGGTATTGTCTCAGGGCAATTGGAAGAGACTTTGGGAAGCTCTGAGGGTCCCACCTTGTTCTTGGGGTCCAGAAATAAGTACAGGGTGGGAGGAGGAGCAGCAACCCCTGGAGGTGGCCACCCTGGAAGGTGGCCATCAGCAGAACCTGGTGACAATTCAGATAGAAGGTAATGTGAGCATCGGTGAGGAGGCTAACTTTACAAAAGAGTAAAAGATCCAGAGATGGTTTTCTCCGCTGTCAAATGGGAATAATAATAATGCCTACCTCCAGGCTCGTGAGGATCAGATAAAGTACCTGAGGAGGACTGGTATGCTGCCGAGCCACAGTACATTTTCCGTGGACACCAGGTTCGCTGGCTTCCCTGAAAATTTGGCCAAATGGGACACTGGGCAGGGGCTGAGCTTTGGAAGGTGTGCAATTCCAGAGCCAACGGGGGCCTGGAGGGCTCAGCAGACACGGACAGAAGTAACCCGATGTCTTGGGTAGAATTTTGGTGGAGCCTTGTTTTGTGGAGGCAATGCTGGCCTGGGTCTGGGGGGAGCCGCAGGCCCAAATTCCCGTTAGCTACGTCCAGGGCGCAGGTGCCACTCCCCTGTGGGAACTGCACAGCCCACGTCCTCCCCTGCGGCGTGCTGCTCTAGCCACGTGGGCCCCTTGCTGTTTCCTGAGCCTCCTGCCTGAGGCTGCTGTGCCCTTCCCTCAGGCATCTGTGTCACCCACACTTATCTCCTTGGGGTCTCTGCTCAGATGCCACTTCAGTGAGGTCTGTCCTGACTCTGTTATTTAAAATTGCACATCCAACATCCCTTATTTATTTTTCTCCATTGTACTCATAAATATTATGTGGGTGATTCAAGAGAATGTGTATTCTCTAGTTTTGTGTACAGTATTCTACACCTGTTCATTAAGTCACAATTATTAATTGCATCAAGTCTTCTATAGCCTTACTTTTTTGGGGGGGAGGGGATCTGCTTGTTCTGTTGATTATTTAGAGAATGTGTTAAAAATCTTCCACTGTGAAAAAAAGATCTTCCATTATGCTTGTGGATTTTTTGTTTTTTTCTTTCCTTGTAGTTCTATCAATTTTGGCCTTATGCATTTTGAGGCTCTGTTCCTAGGTGCGTACAGTTGTATCTTCCTGGTGAACTGAGGGTTTGTTTTTACATTATGCCCTCTAGTATTGCTTTTTGTCTTCAAGTCTACTTAGTCTGGTAATGGTGTAGCTGTATCTGCTTCTTGCACAGTGTATCTTTTCTTTTTCTGTCTTTTAACTTTTAATCTTTCTGCATCTTTTATCCTTTAATGTGTTTTTTTATAAAAAGCATATAGTAAGAATTCTCAGATTCAATTTGAAATGCTTGGTCTTTTAGTTGGAGCATATCCATTTGATGTATTTACATTTAAATTTATCGTTTTATGAAATGCTTTCTATTGGTTTCACTTGTTCTACATTCTTCCTCTTTTCCCTTTGCTTTCTTTTGGATGAAGTGTTTTGTATTATTTCACTGTACTCTCCATAGATATTACCATCTGCATCCTTGACTTCTTGAAGTCTAACATCAATTGATAGTTATACTCTCTTCCTTGTCAATTCAAGAGCCTTAAAATAATTTAGCTCCATTCCCCAGCCCCCGCCAGCTTTGCATTTATTTGATTCCCCTCTATGTGTTAAGGTCCATATGAGAGTACTTTTTATTGTTTTATAAGCCAATATTCATTTAGATATACATTTTTTTTTTTTTTTTTTTGCTTCTTTCCATTACTACCTGAAACTCCAACTTTTAATCTTGAATTGATTTTCTTCTGCTTGAAGAACATGCTTTGGTATATTCTGTAGTGTGCATTTTCTGGGCACCGAGTAATGTCTCAGCTTTTGTTTGTCTGGACATTAAAAAAACACCTCACCTTTGTTCTTGAAGGTTATTTTCACTGGGTATAACATTCTAAGCTGGCAGTTTTTTTCAGCACTTTAAAGATATCATTCCATTGTCCTCTGACTTCCAAAGTTACATGTTTAATTACTGTATCTTGAAAGTAATCTTTTCTTCCTGCTTTTTAGAATTTTTTGTCTTTTGTTTTCTGCAGTTTTACATGAGTGCCTCAGCAGACTTCTTCTTTATCTTGCTTTGAGTTTGTAGTGATTCTTGTGTCTGTGACAATGTCTTTTCAACTGTTTGGGGATGTTCTTAGCCATTATCTCTTTTTTATTTTATTTTTTATTTTTTAAAATTTTAATTCTTGTATAGTTACCATACAGTGTTATATTAGTTTCAGGTGTACAACATAGTGATTCAACACTTCCATATATTACTCAGTGCTCATCAAGATAAGCATACTCTTAATCCCCTTCACCTATTTCACCCTCCCCGCCCCCCCGCCGGTAGCCATCAGAGGGGAGGAATTTTCTGTAGTTTGAGTCTGTTTTTTGGTTTGTCTCTCTTTTTCCTTTTTTCATTTGTTTTGTTTCTTAAATTCCACTTATGAGTGAAATCTTATGGCATTTGTCTTTCTCTGACTGGCTTATTTCACTTAGACTTATACTCTCAAGATCCATCCATGTTGCTTCAGATGGCAAGATTTCATTCTATTTTATGGCTGGATAAAATTCCATTGCATCTTCTTTTCCATTTATCTATGGATGGACACTTGAGCTGCTTCCGTAGTTTGGCTATTGTAAATAATGCCGCAATAAACATAGGGGTGCATATACCCCTTCAAATTAGTGTTTTTGTATTCTTTGGGTAAATATCCAATAGCGTGATTAATGGATTGTAGGGTAGTTCTATTTTAAATTTTTTGAGGACCCTCCATACTCTCTTCCACAGTGGTTGCATCAGTTTGCATTCCCACCAAGAGAGCATGAGGGTTCCTTTTTCTCCGCATCCTCGCCAACACTTGTTGTTTCTTGAGTTTTTTATTTTAGCCATTCTGACAGGTGTGAGGTGACATCTCATTGTGGTTTTGATTTGCATTTCCCTGATGATGAGTGATGTTGAGCATCTTTTCATGTGTCTCTTGGTCATCCGGTTGTCTTCTTTGGAGAAATGTCTGTTCATTTCTTATCCCCATTTTATTTTTTATTTTTTATTTTTTTTAAAAGAATTTATTTATTTATTTGAGAGAGGGAGAGAGAGCACATGAGAGGGGGGAGGGTCAGAGGGAGAAGCAGACTCCCCGCTGAGCTGGGAGCCCGATGCGGGACTCGATCCTGGGACTCCAGGATCATGACCTGAGCCGAAGGCAGTCGCTTAACCAACTGAGCCACCCAGGCGCCCTCTTATCCCCATTTTAAAAATTGGATTATTTGGGTTTTGGTGTTGAGTTTCTAAGTTCTTTATATATTTTGGATACTAACTCTTTATTAGATGTGCCATTTGCAAATATCCTCTCCCATTCCATAGGTTGTTGTTTAGTTTTGTTGGTTACTTCCTTTGCTGTGTAGAAACTTTTTATTTTAATGTAGTCCCAATAGTTTACTTTTGCATTTGTTTCCCTTGCCTCAGGAGATGTGTCCCGAAAGATGTCGCTATGGTCAATATCAGAGAAATTACTGCCTGTTCTCTCTTCTAGGATTTTTATGGTTTCCAGTCTCATGTTTAGGTCCTTAATCCATTGTGAGTTTATTTTTGTGTGTGGTATAAGAAAGTGGTCCAGTTCCATTCTTTTGCTTGTTGCTCTCCAGTTTTCCCAACACCATTTGTTGCAGAGTCTGTCTTGTCCCTATTGCATATTCTTGCCTCCTTTGTCAAAGATTAATTAACCATATAATTGTGGGTTTATTTCTGGCTTTCTATTCTTTTCCATTGATCTATGTATCTTTTGTTATGCCAGTACCATACTGTTTTGATTACTACAGCTTTGTAAATAACTTTGAAGTTTGGAATTATGATATCCCCAGTTTTGTTTTTCTTTTTCAAGATTGCTTTGGCTATTTGGGGTCTTTTGTGGTTTCATACAAGGATTAGAACTGTTTATTCTAGTTCTGTGAAAAATGCTGCTGGTATTTTGATAGGGATTGCATTAAATGTGTAGACTGTTTTGGATAGGATAGATATTTTAACAATATTTGTTCTTCCAATTCATGAGCTTGGAATGTCTTTCCATTTGTTTGTGTCATCTTCAATTTTTTTCCATCAGTGTTTTACAGTTTTTTTTTAAAAAAGATTTTATTTATTTGTTTGAGAGAGAATGAGCGAGAGAGAGCGAGCATGCACAAGCAGGGGAGGGGCAGAGGCAGAGGGAGAAGCAAACTCCCCACTGAGCAGGGAGCCTGATATGGGACTTGATCCCA